GAGGGTGGTGTGTTTGGCTGGTCCCTTTGCAGGAAATACTGGAAGCTCTGGGGAAACTGTGAGCTCAGGCGTTACAAAACACTCAGTGGCAAATACAGGCCAAGAGCTGGACAAGTACCCCAGTAAGGAAGCGGTGGGGGGACAATCAGAGCTCACTGCCAGCTGAGAGGCCCATATGCAGAGGAGATGAGTGTTCGTTAGCCCCAGTGTTCACTGAGCTTTTGATTGTGTTTCCAGGGACACTTGGAAGCGTAACCCCACCACGAAGCACGTGTTCTGCTGGACGCTGCCTCACATCACCCGGCCCTGGCTGAGCTGTTACCTGGAGCGTGTCCTCCCGCCGTCGCTGCTCATCTCGGATGACTACCAGGAGGAGAATAAAATCCTGGGTGTGCGCTGCCTGCATCACATCGTTCTCAATGTGGTAAGGGATTTGGGGAATTGGATCCCTTTCGGGGTGTTGTGTGAAGAAAGGGCAGGTTGGATGCCTGTCACGATTCCTGACTTGTAACCCCAATTCTGCCGTTTACCTGGCAGTTCTGCTCCATCCTTCATGCTGTCCCTGTGTGTTTAAATGCGGGTAGTTCTTATATCTGTTACACCGAGCAAAAAATCACTTAGCCACCTTTTGAGCTCAGCTGGTTCATGTCAGCCTTCAGCAGTTTGCAGAGCAGGATGTTAAAGAAATGCCAGTACAACTGCAGAGCAGCAGCTGGGGAGGAAAGTGGCTGCCCCTGTGCATGGCAAGGTTCAGCCTGCGTTTATTACGGCACCTGCTCCCGCTTTCTTGTAAGCAGAGCTCCCAACGCGCAGCGTGTGCGAGCGTTGTTTTTGTAACACCTGGCTTTGTGAAGGCTCTTCTTTTTCAGTGAGTTAAGGGGGTGCTGAATGTGATGCGCAGGAGTAATGCTCTGTTCTCTGTTGTTGCAGCCAGCTGCTGATCTGTGCCAGTTCAACAGGGCTCTGGTGGTGTACCACGCCCTTTACAACCATCTCTATTCACGAGAGGCCCCTCTCATCCAGGTGTGACAGCAGAGCTTCGTTTTAATCTGCCTTGTGGTGTTGGGTATCAGCCCCACTGAGGAGGGGAGAGCTGGCTTAAGGTGTGAGGAGGCAGAACCAGTTTCCTTGCAGACAGTCCAGTCAGGCTGTTAACTGGCTGATGCACGTGGCCGAGAGACAAGATAACTCAATAGATTTCAGGAAAATATCAAAGCGGAGGGATCCCTCTTGCCTCCTGTCCCCTTCCAGGTGGCAGCCTTGCTGAAGAAGGCCCACCACAGGGGTAACAGGTAGAAGAAACAGTCAGGTGTGTCAGATGAACTGCAGCAGCTGTGGGTGGTCAGGGGGTTGGAAGTTACTGGTGTTTTGGAGAGAACATCAAAAGGACTGCCCCGGTTTACTGTCTCACAAACCAGGCAGTACTGCTGTGCCTCCTGGATTTGCTGCCGATCCTGGAGAGGGCCCAGCGGCACCAGAAGCAGGCCAGACCAACAGCCCACTGCGATGAGGTGCTGCAGCTGGTTCTGACCCACATGGAGGCAGAGCATCGCCTTGCGCTGCGGCGGGTGTATGCCAGGACCCTGCCCGCCTTTGTGCAGCGGTGAGAGCCAGTCGCAGCCCTGCAGGGACTTGCTTTGGCCTCGGGCTGTACCTCCCTGCTCAGTGTGTGTTCCTGCGTGTCATGTCAGCAGGCTTGGCATCCAGATAGCGCGGCACCTGAAGAGGCTGGAGCGAGTTATCCTGGGGTATCTGGAAGTCTATGATGGCCCTGAGGAAGGAGCCCGACTGGGAATACTGGAGACACTGCAATGCACCATAGAGCATGCTTGGCCCAGGTACTGGTCTGGGAGTGGAAGATACTGTAGAAAACGTGTCCTGAATACCGTCCCTCTTTCAGAGCCAAAGTTACAAGAGCTTGAGGAAAAGGCTCTGAAATCTTAAAGGAGAATCTGTCACAGGGAGGAATCGCTG